AAATCTTTAGATTGTTCAAAACCAAATTCGGAGATATATTTACCAGAGTTTTTACAGTGTATATTTAATTCGAAAAAGTGCATTTATGTATATAATTTCGTAACTTATAGTGGATACTTATACTTAACTCCTTATACTTAAAAATTGGATAGTTAAGTCATTATTCAAAATTTTTTCTTCTCGTATTATACTCTAAATAATAAAACAAAATTATATTTTAAATAAGATGAAATGTGTGCTCTAGTAGTTAAACTAATTATTGTACTTGTTGATGCTTGTGTAAAACACAAATATTTATGTGAGTTTAAAATTCTTCATAAATTGTATCTGTTCCCCACTTTTTAATGGGTTTTCTAAAACTGAAATGAAATTTTAAATCTATATAAATTTCCTTATCTACATTAAGTCAATAAATTTCTTTTTATGAGAAGAAAAAATTAATTCGATTACACGATATAAACTGAATAATTCTGATCATAAGTGTGCAAATTTGACTTAACTTTAGCAATTATAACAACCGAAATTAAAACGAAATTATCACTTTAATTGAAAATTAATACCACTCAGACGAAGATGAGTAAGAAGTCAAAGATAAACAATGACCAAATAAAGGTAGTTAACACTGAACATAGCAACACTTAATCTATACCTATTTCCACCATAGCCGATCAAATGGATGTTAGGAAGGAATGAAACTAAAAACACTTTATTATAATTAAACAAAATTGTATATTGCCAATTTTTATGCATTACAAACACAAAGAATAAGAATTTTTAATTCATTGCTCAACAATTTTTTTACATATACAGGGTGTTTCCATTGTACATTTTCCGCAAACATATTTCTTCTAATTTTTGTTATTTCGATAATTCTTATCATTAATATTATTACTTCTTAGAACTTGTGCTGTCTTGATTGTTTCGACATTTTTCTAGTAAAAACTAACAGTTAATTAGAAATGAAGTAAAGCTATCAAAATAAAATATAAGTTTCTTACCAAAACATTTATTTTTTGTCACTTTTTCTGACACAAAAATGCCAATCTAATTAATTTTAGGTACTTTCTTGAAATTTGAATTCACAGTTATTCTGATTGAACTAACTACGCAACAGTCTTTGCAGAAATGTGCAACTAATCGAATGTAATACATTGAAAACGCATTTCATCGAAATTTCTAATCCGATAACCTTATAAAAAGCAAATAATAACAAAACAAACAATAACGCAAATAATAACGAAACAAAACAAATAATAACAGAATATTAACTGTATATAATTGTTAGAAAAAGTCATGAAGTCAAATGTGCAGAAACGGTAAGATGATGAGCGCGTTTTCAATGCAAAAGTTCTTAAACGGTCATTTGACCGATTATGGTATGTTTTGTGTTAAAGGCCAAATAAAGTTTTGCACTAACACATTTGCACTTCTAGTCTTTCAGTTACTTCGAATTGTTTTTCCTTCTTTTAAACAGTTTTGAGATTTTCTTTCGGAAGAATCCTCTACGGCACGGGAAGTAATAGAGGAAATTACAATTGTTTTGCGATTTCTGTTATAAAAGTAGTTTAAATTTAAACAAATACATTTTGATATAGTAGAAGAAAGTTAAAAGTTTTACTTATTTACGGTTTTAAATAAAATAGGTTTTCACATATAAAGTTTTTTTTATAGAATATTCAAATCCATATGACCAATTAAAAAAAATCTTTATTAAAGGAATTTATGTTACTCTGATTTTCCTAAATAAATATGTAACTTATATCTATTTAATTGATGTGTATTTGTGTTATTTTTATTTTACTGTATATATTTTGTTTTAAAATAATACGTAGTTAATCAGTTCACACTTATATAATTGTTTTTGTTTACAAGCATAACTCTGATTACTATTTCAATGGTTTTTTATTATTATTTTTAATTTTTAGTAAGTTAAGATTACTCTTTGTCCTTATGCTATTGGCCGAAGTTTTTGAATTTATGTCATCGTCTAGGCGTTTTGTGCTGTTTTTTTTTTTTTTTTTTTTTTTTTTTTTTTAAATAGCAAAATTGTTAAGAGTAACTTTTGCTAAATTAATCTGAATGTTTTCTTGTTATAAAAATTTTTTAGAGTGTTAAAATATTTTTCAGAAATTTTAATACTTTTTCACAAAACTTATTGTCCTTTGAAGTATAAATATAAAAAAATTACATACTATTTCTCTTTATTACAAATTATGTAAAACTTAAAATTAAAATTTTTTTTTTCTTTACATTTAATTAAAATGCATATTTTATAACCTTAATATTTTTTAAACTTTTCAATTGATTATCTAGACTGTATCTTTTTATTATATATATTGTCTAGATAAAAAATTTTGAATGCCGGTTTTGAAAATTTACTATCCAAACTAAGTTTTTATGATGTCTTAAATATGATTTTTATAATAAAAATTTACTATGAAAATTTCTATGATGCCTTTATCTTTAATTGCCTTAAAATATTGAAAAATAGCATTGAAAAGTCCATAAAAAGGCCTTATATTTAAAAAAGTTTGACGTAGGAAACTTATAAGCAAAAATTATTATGTTTTACTATACTCCTTTATAAACATTAAAAGAAACTACAGTTGTTTTAATTTTGTATATCAATTTTAATTTATTTTTCTTTCCAATTGTTGCTTCTTAGTTTTCACTTATTTAAAAATGATGTATTAAATAGCTTAGAAATAAATACTATTAATCAAACTAGATTACAATTTTAAACAGTTTTAAAACATAATTTTAATATCTGTTATTTCTTCTTTAAGAAGACTCCATTTAAGTGAAGGAAACCTATTCTTTCTGTAATATTTCCACCGTAGAAATTTTTTTTATACCTTCTTTAAAATAAGGTAATTTTGATTTTAAATCTCCTCGAAATAAATAACTCGTATGTAATCAGCCTTTTAAAGTCTATGAAAAAAGTTTTGTTTAATGATTTTATGTTACATTATTTACCGTTTCTACTTCGTTCAGAAAATCCTTCACTAACAAGGAGATGAGTTGAGTAATTCAATTTTGAATGAAACTCGGGATATTAGTAGTGTATCTTACGGGTGTTTGCGCGTTAAAGTATTATAGCGCGCTTGCCAGAAAATGCCGAGTAAAAAGCATTTGGAAATTTAAGCACACTTTATGCCAGTTAAATATGTTTATCGTTAACAGCGCAGTGGCCGAATGATAGGATACCTACCTGGCTAAGAGATACTTAGGGTTCGATTCGCATCATTTGGTGTTTTTATTTCCTTTAAATTTTTTTTTATTTTTTTATTTATTTTTTTTTTTTACTGAATTAAAATTTCTTTATCTCTAAACTAATAATTTTATTAAATTCATGATATTTATTATTATTTAGTAGATATTTCTTGATAATCAAATTATAGTGGTTATTTTAATCTTTCTGTGAAATAATGAAGGTTAAAATTGTTATGAATAAAATTTATAAAGCTTATAAAATTTAAAAAGCTTAAATTTTTATTTTATAATTATTAATTAGAATGATAACACTGGGGAACACATATTTTCTTGCATTTATACAAATACTTGATCTTGTCAAATCTAAAACTAGTTTTGTTTATAAAACGAAAGATTTTTTTAAACGACATATTTAGCCTATTTTTTGTCGCAATGTACAAGTTTTAAAACGTTATATATAACAGTGCGTCGCATAAATGTTATGACATATTTGTATCGAAGTTAGGGCACCAGGATTAAGAAAATTGTATAGGAACTCATCCTCTGAAATGTCGTCGTTCGCGGCTTCTCTATTATGACTTATTCAGAAGCACACGAATAAAAAGTTCATTATAGGGAAGCGCCCTTAGCGGCGTACGTTGAAATTTCCGGGCATGGGTTCCTATGTAATTTTAATCCTGATGATGTTTCCCTTACTTCCCTAGAAGTTTGTCACAACATTTATGCGACTTCCTATTATAGATAACGTTTTTAAACGTGTACATTGCGACAAAAGATAGACTAATGACGATAAAAAAAATAATAAATAAAAAAAACAGAAACTAAGAGTGAGAAACCAATTGCAGCTTTGTAATCACCGGAGCGAAAATATCCAAACTCCGTTAAAAAATCTCATGGAAAAAAGATTTTTTTACTCGGAGTAATTATCGAAAAAAAATTTTAAGCAGAAAATTATTTGGTATTTTGCATAGTTAATCTTAAACATGTACGTATTTTTAAAGTTGATCTGCTGAAAAATTCACTTCATTAATATTCCAAAATATTTATCAATCTTCTTCGTACTTATCATATCTTATGATTTCATTAAAAATCGGCGGTACAAATTGTCGAACTGTGGTTTGTGTTTTAAAATTCGATCTTAGGAAAAATTTTATTTCTCGATTTTCTTCAATTAAATAAACTGATCTCTCGAAACGCTTTAAGATTTTTTACCCGTTTGTTCCAAAAAAGAAACAAGAAAAAGTAGCAAACTTGTGTGAGATCAGTACAATGTGGGGGAATCTTTTTGAAAAAGAACTATTTTATTGTTATAACCATTGCTTATAAATATTATTTTAACTATCAGCGTTTTATTGAAAGTTTGAATTATTACTTTAATTTAAATGTCAAGTAACATCTAATAACTGGAATCAAGGAAAAAGGTAATAAAACGACGACCAGGGACGTGCTTAGGATTTTAGCGGCCCTGGGCGAATCATTGAGACATTTTATTATGGTTAATAAATTCATGTTTTAAATAAAGTGCATATTGGACATCGGATTTTTTTTAAAATTTCAATCGTTTTTTTTTTTTTTTTTTTTTTTTTTTTTTTTTTTTTTNTTTTTTTTTTTTTTTTTTTTTTTTTTTTTTTTTTTTTTTTAAATTACACACATATACTTAAGTTCTCATTCATCACCTTGTATTCTAGTTTAAAATTTGCCTCCGCTTTTTTTTAAAGCAAATTTAAATTATAAAGTTTAAATTATAAAGTGGATTAAATAATATGCTTTATTTCTTTTTCTTTCAGTTTAGTTGCTGGGTAGATGCCGTTATATATGTCTTCAGCTTAGAAAACGAAGCATCCTTTAATGCCATCTATAATTACTATACAAAAATGTCATATTATAGAAGTCCCGGTGAAGTGCCCTTAATACTGGTTGGCACGCAAGGTACGTCTTTTAATATAAAGTTTATTATTATTTGGCAGCAATTCATTCATTTTAAGTTAGGCGTTCATTTGCATTAACTTTTTTAATGCTATATTACTTTATAGTGTGAAAACGGTTTACCATATATTTGTATACTATGTAAGAAATTTTAAAAGCAAATTCATATAAACGTTCGGCAAATACTTAATGTATACTTTCTCTTTTTTTTTTTCAATCTAAATGCTGTGTTTTGTCTCCATTTTTAAAATATTCTGTGCTAATCCTCTTCTGGGGTATGCAATTTTCACTGCTTTGCATGACCTCGAGGTACCCTTGTAAGCTCTATTTCTTTTCTTTCTTTCTTTCTTTTTGTCTGGCTTAGTTTACTACGCCATTTAATAAGCATTTAAAAGTTTGCATGATAAAATGAGAATTAAGTTCATACGATTCGAGCGCTCAAAAATAGGCGCCTATTCTGAAGACTCGACAGGCGTGAATGACAAAAAAAGGGAGATTTAAAATAGAAACAATTAAGTTGCCAACGATTAATTTAAAATTGAGGTAGAGTAGTGGTGGTTCGGGGGATAAAGCATTCGTCTTCCAATAAGATGAACCAGGTTTGAATCCCAGCGATAGCCGATTGATACGAATTCCGCATCCTGTTCGCACCGACCCCAGTGCTGACGTAAAAATATTATCAGTGGTAGACTGATAATGGGTTAGAGTCCTATTGCCGTCGGGCTAACTGTGGGAGAAGTTCGTGGTTTTCTTCGTCATACAACGCAAATGCGGATTAGTTCAATCAAAAAATTCTCTACGACGGCAAATTTCTCCCAATACTTGATCAAGAAGTTCCCTTGTCTTCTGGATTGGGTTCAAAATTACAAGGCTACGGAGTTTAACACTGTTGTAATTGTTGTAACTGTTGTAATTCCAACGACGGTTATAAAATAAAATGAAATAGTGATAAAAACGAAACGAGAAAAACCTCGGGGTGTCGAGAGAGGATAGTCGAGAGGGAAATCAGTCCAAAATGCATTTTACGCGCTTTGGACATGTGTTGATGAACTCGCCTAATTTGCCTCTCTCTGACACTGTGGTTTTTCTAGTTTCTTCACCATTATTTTTCATTTTCTGTTTCCTTCTCGGCTACTGCTGTTTTTCTACTTTTTATTTCACCATTATTTTCCATTTTTCGTTGGAAACTTTGTTTTCTGTTTCAAACCTCCTTTGTTTTCCTCATTCACTCCTGGTGAGTTTTGAGAATGGACTCCAATTTTTGAGAGCTCGAAACATGTCAACTTTTATTACCTTCTTCATATTTTTTGATGCAAATAATTTCTTTTTATGAAGTATATCTTTCAGCTTCTGTTTCTTGCGATTATTCGTATCTAATTTCATTCACGAATTCTCGCTAAAGACATTTTAATATACTCAGCTGAATTAGAAAACTTTAACTGTTTGAATTTAATTTAAAGGTTTCATTTTGAATTCAACACAAAAGACAATGTATTGCATTTAATATATGTATTTCATTATTTTAAGAAGCTGCAATATTTGAATGATTATTATTTTTTTTGACGAAATTACTTAAATAAGTTTAACTCGCAATTTCTTTCAGTTTTATATAAGATTTGGTACGTTTATAAATGACTCGGTTTGTGGGTTTCTTAAGATCGAAAATATTGCCACATTCTAAGGATGACTTTTTTTTCAATGATAATGTGTCTGCATTTTGATATTAATTTTTGATTAAATTAACAAAAAAAAAAAACTCTTCATTTTACCGAACAAAATCTCTGTCACGAAAGCGTTAATGATTTTATAACTAATTATTTATCTCTTTTGAACTACGGTGAGATAATCAAACGTGTAATTAATGTGTTAGTATATTTCCTCTTTCATTTGGTGAGCTTATTTTCTCCTCGAAAATTGATTGGCTGCCTTTTAGCAGGTTTTCTATCAGCAAATAACCAATTTTCCTCACATTTCTATTTGTAATTGCAATCATTGCCTGGGTTGGAAAATGAGAATTGCTTTTCCTGGTGTTACTGTTCATGTTTTCGTATTTATCTAATTGCTGTAGTATTTGTAAAACAAACTTAAAAGAAGAAACACAAAAATTTATTTATTCGATACTTATAGTGTTTAGAAGCATAGATGACAGAAAAGTTTTTTGATTTTTAAGGTCCATTTTAGGGATTTAAGATAAAAGATGTAGGTGTGAAATATCTTACCTAAACTTTTAAACACATTATCTCCCAGCAAATCTTTCTTTATCTGACTGTAAATAGATGGATCATTTTGACCCTAAACATCTAGGCTATTTTTTTTCTACGACTTTTTCGTGCATCTTGTTCAAAAAATACCCAATCTATTTTCGTTTTTGTTTCGGTTTGCTGCTCTTGTTATCGTCCACATTTTAAAAAAAAAATCCCCAAATTTCCATTTCTTAAATTTTTTAGTTATTTTTAACGAAATTTTCCCCACTATTTTTCAATTTTAATTGTCGAAGCTTCGTAAAACAGCATTGAGTAATCTCTTCTTATCGTCCGAATTACCCAAAGGCTATCCCCGATGCAAACATAGACTAACCTGATATACAGATGACTCGAGTTCGAATGAAGTTATCACATTCTAATTGAACAGAAAATCCTTATGAAAATTTCGCAACGCACTAGATGAAGGATAATTAAAGGCACCTTTAACCCTTTTCGCCAATTGTCACTAATACGTGCCGGCGGAAAACGTTATCAGTCAGGGTAAAAAATAAAGCGGGTAATTTAACAAATTCTTCAATTTATTTGTGGGCAAGGTTATAATAGTTTAATTTATTTAATTCATCAAGACTTAGTTCAAAATAAAAAAAGATTAAACTAACAGTGGTTGAAGTGAAGGCAAAATAAATTTCGTATTATCCATGCCCACATTTAGGATACCGCCTTTTTTTTCAATCCTGACTCTGATTTTGTACGAATGCTTTTCTGAATCGCCCGTCCCGAAGGGGTTAAAGTTCGATTAAGTCTTAACACTAAACATAACGGGTCAAATGACCGTTTAAGAACTTTTGCATCGAAAATGCGCTTATCATCTTATTGTTTTTGCATGTTTGACTGCATGACTTTTTCTAACAATTCTATACAGTTAATATTGTATTATTATTTATTTATTTTGTATTTAGTTTGTTTCGAATAATGCTTGTCGTATACCTATTTCTACCACAACTGGTCATTTGACAGGGAGAACAATTTATTGCTTTATAAGGTTATGGGATCAGAAATTACGATGTAATGCGTGTTCAATGTATTACTTTCGATTAGCTGCACATTTCTGCAAAGACTGTTGCGTAGTTCAATCAGAATAACTGTGAATTCAAATTTCAAGAAAGTACCTAAAATTTTAGATTGGCATTTTTGTGTCAGAAAAAGTGACAAAAACTAAATGTTTTGGTAAGCAGCTTATATTTTATTTTGATAGCTTTACTTCATTTCTAACTACCTTAGTTAGTTTTTACCTAGAAATATGTCGAAACAATCGAAACAGCACAAGTTCTTAGAAGAAATACTATTAATTATAAGAATTATAAAAATAATAATTCGAAGAAATATGTTTGCTAAAAATGTAGAATGGAATGTAAGAAATATGTAAGAAATGCGTAGAGCCATGAATTAAAAATCACAAATGCATGTTTCTTCAAGATTTATTCAAATAACAAATTTAAAGAATTAAAAAACAAGCGTCGTTTTTTCACAGTGGGGATTAATTTATTTGCGTTGAATCAAAAATTACAATATTATATCTGTAACCGTTCTTCGATTAAAATAGTGTTCTTTATTTCTAATTGAAAGGCCTGGGAAGCTATAATAAACCACTTTTTCAGGTTTTTTAGCAGAACGTTTTGGGGGAAATACCACAAAATTCATCTTGGCAATAAGATGTTTCTGTGTATTGTGTTGTCTAAATTAATTTTGTAAATTTCTAAAGGAAAAGAAAACTGAGAAGAGACTGAGAAAGAAAACTGAGGAAGATTGATGCAAATTTCCTCTTTGTGAAAAAGTGTACAGTGCGCAAAAAAGGGGACCATTTTGAATAAGTTTTGATCTAATGATCGGATCTTCACGTTCTAGGACTCAATAACTCGAGGGGAGTGACTTCAAATATGCTAATTAATAAGTGCAGGCGATATTTTAAGTTGCGAAATCAGACACAAAAACGTACTTTATCTAAATAAACATGTCTTTTTTCGTTGGATTCGGATTTCTGACCCCCAAAGTGTAGGGGTTAGCCTCAAGCTGGGAAATATCGTCCCAATAGTTTAGTCAAGAGAGCGCTCCAAAGTTTGGAGCCTTTAATGTTGATTTTACTTTTTGCATACTTCGCTATATCTCGAGAACTTTTTAACCGAATAGAAAAATTTTTGCTTACGATTATAAAATTCGTTTATTCAAAAATAAATCCATGCAAAAATTAATTTTTAAAAATTATTTATTATTTTTTATCATTTTATTTAATAACGGCCGAAAAAATTTTGAATGTAAGGTACACAATTTTTTACATAATTTTCAGAATGGCAAAATACAAAATGTGAGCAAAATCGGTTGAGTAGTTCTTGAGAAATTGATTTTCAGAAATTTCAGATTTTTTAAAATTTTGTTTCTCAGAAACTATTTGACCGATTTTGCTCAAATTTTGTATTTTGCCTTTTAAAATTATCTTCTTTAAAATGATGCAAAACATTGCGTACCCTACCGTTCAAATTTTTTTCGACCATTATTGAATAAAATAATAAATATTTACTATAAGTTATGTTTTGCATGGAATTATCTTTTAATAAAAAAAATTTATAATTGTGTGCAAAAATTTTTCACTTTGGTTAAAAAGTTCTCGAGATATAGTGAAATACGCAAAAAGCAAAATTAACATTAACGGGTCCATACTTTGGAACGCTCTCCTGATCAAACTTTTGGGAGTCAGAAATGTGAATCCGTTGAAAAAAAAAGGCTTGTTTATTCCGAGAAAGT